ATTTAATTATAACTGACAAATAATGTATTTATCATACAAATTCTTTGTTTTGTCAAAAAGAGGTCATATAGCTCTATATTTTACAGATTATGTAGATTATGTGAGATAACAAAATCTTTAATACATATCTCAATGATATTTAAGTTGTGAATAATTAAATTTAGAAATTGTCAATAAATATTACAGACAGTATTCACCTAAGAACAAATGAATATGCTTTTTCAAATCTGACATTCAAACTATTTATTATCTAAAAGTTATTAACTTAGAATATTCCTCATTCCTGTATAAATATATGTGTATAAATATATTGTGAAAAAAATAGATGTCGAATTTTTGCATCTATTCTAAATATGAGAACAAGAATTAATCTTTTTAACGTTGTAAGAAATCCGATGAAAGTGTTGTGTTGATATTTATGCAATCGTGTGTGCGTGTGTGTGTATGATTTGAGAAAATCATATAATTTTTAAAAAAGTAACAGATTGCTTTATAAACGAGCTTCATAAACTTAGCACTGTATTTCATCAAGTAGAATATAATAAAGAATAGAGACAATAGGCAAAAAAGAAATATGATACAATGAAGAATAAATCGTCTCTGTCTATCTATTTATCCATAAACTGGATAGAATTTGCTCTTGCTACTGATTACCAACAATGTGAACGCATGTCTCCCCATTTTTAATTGAGACTACAAATGGGCAACAATGGTAACAACACCGTGTAAAAAAGTAATGTAAAAAAAGAGAGAAAAAAGGCGAGTTAAAGGAGAAAATTCGGTTGGAAGTAAGAAAACTGCGATAGCACGGACAAACCTGATTAAAGTCGGAAAGAAGGCCAGGTGCAAACTCGCAACCGGGCGCGATTTTGATGATGTAGAGGCGCAGAAAGGCGCAGAAAGGCGCAGAAAGGCCGAGATTATCAAGAAAGGCGGAGGGCGGACGAACGTCGTGGGCCGCGGGCGAATTTTATCTCGACGTTCGCAGGAGAACGGAGGCAAAAGGAGACGCGCGAAGGCAAAGAAAATACAAGGAGGATCACGCGTGTTGCCGACCGTACGTGCGTTGGCGCGCACCGTAAATCCACTTACCATTAACGTCGTGTATTAGGAAATTCATCGTTTTGTTTTGCTGTGTCATCTCTGACGTTATTGGGCCGTCGATCGGCTGAGGACGATAGCGCGAATGGGCCGTGCGAAAAAGGGAGATAAAAAGATCATAAGGGCCACACTCAGCTCGAATCGTCGGCTCGGCGTATCACCAAAATGGCGACCTCGCATATAAAAGCACTCGCGAGGGTGATTTGCGAGGTATCGCGCGTCGCGAGACCGTTACGGTCCGTCAGCCGTGGCAATTCGGCCTCTCCTTTATCGCGATCGGCTGCGCATTATTAGAATGAGCCCGGAATATTCGCGCTCTACTCGCAGCCACTCTGGCCCTGCAGCTTCCGCGTGCACACGGACTGGAAATGAGCTTGGCGGCACGACAAAGCTAAACAGCTGATTGGCCGGCCACCGGTCACATGGTCGCTCTCGTTCCACGTTACGCGGCGCCTCTCTCGTGACGCGCGCGCCAATTTTTCCTCTTCCGATTACAATCCGAGGTAACCATTTCTTATTGGTTCTTTAAATCTGCCATATTTACGTAATATAGTAAAAAACGCCTATTTTTTATATATTATAACATTTCAAAATAGCATGCGTATTAATATTATAATAATACGATTAACGACAGTGCTGTTGTCTTCTTCCGACGCAATTGCAGGTATCAATAAATATTTAGCTTAACTTTACATTTCGTATATCTTATGACAATTTATATGCATAATATATACAATGTATATATATATA